CTTAAATCCAAAAGGTATATGTAGCATAGTTATTTATTGTGTATTGAAGTTAGCATAGATATTGGTTTCAAAATAGAGTATTTTTTACAAGCATTCAATAGCGTTCTGTCGTGACGCAAAGACACGAGACCTTTTTATGTGTATAGCAATTTTATTCTGTCCATATTCTAAATCTTCCCGTCAATTAAGAACTGCCAGAAAACATCTTATTATAGGCCATTATATTTATTAGAAAACTAAGCCAATAACTCGATTCCTTACGTGACATTTGCTAATAATAAAATGCGCATAATTGTTTTACCATTAGCGGATTAAAAAAAAAACCCGTGACGGTTCAAATTCCTCATAAGTAACTTCTAATCAATATTCAAAATCTATTTTATTATATTTTTATCTATATGTTAATTATATTTTTGCTAATTTCTGCACTTAAGATGAAACTAAAATGTGTAAATACTCATTTTAATATTCAAAATCACTTTTTATGAAGTTAAGTGTCCGGCAAATAAACTATTATTTTAATAGGTAAAAACAATCTAATCTAATAATTATATTAAAAGGAGAGAATGGATTTTGTGTTAGGGTTCCGCACCCAACGGTTAAAAAGAGGTCCTATTACGCTGTCTGACTGTCCGCCTGTCACCAGGCTGTATCACATGAACCGTGATAGTAAGACAGTTGAAATTTTCACAGATGATGTATTTCTGTTGCCGCTATAACAACAAATACTAAAAAACAGAAAAGAAATTTAAGTGGTGCTCCTGCACTTGGCCAGTTTGTTTTTATCAAAACAAATTCGATGTGTTCTTACGTGTATTTTGTTATTTTTAATGTGTATGCTTCTTGTCCTTAATTTGAAAAATGTTTTTCAGCGTACCTTAATCATTTCAACAAATAATAAGAAGTGTATATTATGGGCCGATAAAATGAAGCAAATATACATATTTTATCCACTCACAATTTTAACTAAATTAAAACGGTACCTATCATAATAAACTGCAGTCCATTTTTTTACACCAAGTGTTTATGGTCTACGATTCGAGAATGACGTGTTATAGCACAAATATAATAACATAAATACGAGGCAGATTGTTACCACATGTTTGGTACGTTATAAAATCTGAAGCGTTTATTGAGTTACGGAAATGTTCCCATAGACTAATAAGACTATGTAAATTATAGGACATGTAAGGTCATTAGTTATTAAATTATTTAGGGGAAACATGGGCTGGTTAGGTTATTTCGTTATGTGAGAAAATGGCAACCGAGCTGGCGGTTCACCTGATGTTAAGTGATAACCGCCGCCCATGGACATTTGCAACAACTGTAGGGTTGCAAAAGTGTTGGCACCTTTAAATAAAATGGGCCCCGACTACCTCATTCATCAGAAGAAACGCAGAAATGTAACACTTCTACTTTACGCCGGTCTTCTGTGAGGTCGTGGTATTTACCCGGACGGACCTGCCCATTCGTGCAACAGTGAACTATTGCGTGGCCCTACCACAGTTATGGTAGGTTTGGAATGTTCCTGTAGATAATTTAGACTCTAAGTTAAAGGACTGGTCAGGTTTCTTTTGGACGATGATTCGTTCGATCGTTACCAAATTAATCATGAGAAATAATTATAGCCTAGATAAATAGTATGATTTGGAGTCAGTCTTTTCGTTGAACTACTAGTTTCAAATTCAAGTGGTTTGTAATTTATAGTTTCTGGGATAAGAAAACGAATGTCACTATACGAGAGCAAATCTTTGAAAATGAAAGCCTACAACCTTAGTTCGGTAATTTTGAACAAAAAAAACCGACTTCAAACAGGAAACTAATAAAACATTGTCAACGCCTGTAACATTTGAGGATTGCCCTCGATTTCTCTGGGATGCCATCATCAGATCTGGGTTTTCATTATTATGGTACCACCCTTGGGATATCTCCTTTCCAACAAAAAAAAGAATCATCAAAATCGGTTCATAAATGACGAAGTTATCCCCGAACACACATAAAAAAAATAAAAACATATACGGTCGAATTGAGAAACCTCCTCCTTTTTTGAAGTCGGTTAAAAAGTAGCAAGATACGATAATGTTACAGCCTATATAATTGTGTTTCATTGCTGGGCAACTATACCCTGGTATGAAGGCATAGTCCACAACGCGGCCCCGCTGCGGATTGGCGGACTACACATATCTTCGAAATATATATTATTGTTTTCCTTCTTTTTTTTATATACATTTTATATAATTTTTAACGTAGTTTTGCGCTTGGTAGGCCCCAACTAACACTTCCGAAATACACCTCAGGAAGTGGGGAGAGGCTGAAAACCAGCGCTGCTCGGAACTACTGTCCCGATCAGCACAAGCTGAGCCGCCTCCTTTTGCCTTTATTGTATTGTGTACTTTAATTTTAAGAATGGATGCTTAGTTATAAGTTACAAAGAAGGCAATAAAGTGATTTTTATTTTATTTATTATTTCTCTGGTTTTCTCACGATGTTTTCCTTCACCGCTGAGCACGTGATAAGTCAGCACTTAAAATTAACAATTTTATTGGTGCTGACACCGGGGATCGAATTCAGGTTGCTCGAGTATATTGAATTAAAAGCTTCCTTATTTTTTTATTTCTCGAATGCAAATCTTTGGATGAGGTTTGCGCTTTCTATGCCTATTCTAAAGGTTTAGTGAAGTATCATCGATACATGTGTCGAATTAAAAAAAAAACACACACAAATACGTAATACTCCTCATGTGCGAAAATAAAAGAATAAACGGGTTTCATAATTTAAACAAAGCGGATTTAGTAATACCCAAGCATGCGATACAAATTATAGTCACCATTGTGTGAAGATACCCTAATATTAAATCTAAATGACAATATCTCAACTCACTAATGTGCAGTTGATGTTTATCGCTGCTATGAAAATATTGCTTGCAATGACGGCACTGGCAATCTTGTGTGATCATCTCTCTCTAAAGACAATTGGAATCTCCCAATGAAATGAATGTAACTTGTTGGAAGTAAAATTTTCGCAGCATTATTTATTCGCTTGTCTTCTTGTTTAAAACAAGGATGATAGTTATAGTAACTCAAAAATATGACCTTAAGGATGTATTTTAAATTAACTACATTCTTTGAAGATACGTTTATTATATCAAATAAGTGAGTCAGTAAAGTAAATTGACATTAGTATTTGAGCATTATTTTCCAAATTTAAGCATTGTTTCTTCGAAAGTATTGCTGGAACTTTTAACCATATTATATGGGTGATTTATTAGGTCATAGGGCAGTTCATGCAATGCATAGTATTGGTGCATACGATCGGGCTTATTTAATTTAGCAGATATTGATCTCTTTGCATTAAAAATATTTAACACTGCTAATATATGACGGCATCTGTGGCTAGCAAAAAAAGTTATTCGCCACAAGCAAAGCAGCTGGTGTTTAAGATCTGATTTCACATAAATCATCTTTCGGATTGTTCCAATTGATCATCGTGATGTTTGTTTTACTTTCGTTTCTTTAAGCGAGAAAAATCTACTACTAGAATGTGCGCACATTGTTCTTGATTCTACTGTAGAATGATTCAAAAAATGTATGACGGTTCTTTTAGTTCCGATGACGAAATGTAATGAGCTATTAAAGTAAAATAAAAAAAAAATCCGAAAACATAAAATCGATTCCGAGAAATGAGCTTTTCACATAAAAAAAAACCACAAACATCTATCTTTATCTGCAACTAAAAAGTCAGGTTTATTTGTTTTTCCAATCTCGTAACAGTTGGTGTTGATTTTTTTTCGACTGTTGCTAAAAAGCCAGTATATTATTACGTTACGATACGATACATCAATAGGGGGACGCCTTGCGTGCTTTGACTTTACGAGTGTAAACATTTTAACTTTCACATAACGGCGAACGCGTGAAACTCGCGAAAATCATAACGTTGATTTTTCACATGATTACGAAAAGCTATTAACGTGGGATATGAATTTCCAATACGCGTCACTACTAAATTTAACTACGCTTACATATGTGCAAACAACGCTTCATGAACAGTTATTGTGAAATTGCTATAAAATTAGATGTAGTGAATTGTTCGAAATGGAATTGATAAAATGTCTTGATAGAGGTAGTGGATAAATGTGTCTTGATACTTTTCACGTGGCGTTTAAGCGTACAATATTGAACTTTTTATGTTTAATTGAGATCAAGTACATAATTTACCAAGTATTGCTTTACTTTTAGAGTTATTATATAAAAGTTTTTTAATATATAATTGTTTTTCACGTCCTTTTTATTCGAATATAATCTCCATATTGGTCTCCGTATGTATCATTTTTTAATATGTAAATTATTATTTATTTTATTTTTAATGTTTAAATATGAATAATAATAATAAAAAATAGTAATATATGATAATTACTTATAAAATATAGTACTAGTGTAAACAGGAAAGGGTTCTATTTGTGCTTCTTCTATTCATAAATGTGGCAGGAAATCCTTTAGAGTTTGAATGATGCTAGTATAAACAAAAATCACTCAAGGTTGTCTTCTGTAGGTTAATAACGCATATATAACATACTTATGTATTATTAATATTATTTATTTGTCAAATGAAATCAAAACTACCTATTTACATAATTAATGACTGTTATAGGTTATTAATGAAACGTAGTCGTTATTTAAGCTATGTTTTTAAATGATAATTTTTTAATTATTTAATTAACTAAATGTTTTACGATAAAAAATGTTTTATATTATAACAATTGATTTTAGTAATAAACCAGCATCGTTAAATTATTTCGAAATGTATTGTAAATGAACATATCGTTTAGATTTTTATTATGAGATAAAAACAATATATTACTTTCAATTTAATTCCGACTGGTTATTTATAATAAACAATAAGCTATTAACTCGGGAAGGAACTTAGTAAATCGAAAACAATGTAGTGTGATATCACTATCGATTATTTAAAATCAATTAGATGTCTTTGAGTAGAACACTCACGAAACTCGAAACTTCACCGATGTGCGAATGCAGCGCGTCGAAGTTCTCCTCCGAAGTCAGGTGGTTCTTCAACCTTAGGGGCACCGGCACCTTCAGGCGCAGGCTCGGCTTCCCGGCCCTTTGGCCGTCAACTCTTGGACCACTGCGGAAAGGGCACTCGGGGGCGGCGCGGTGCCCGTTAACGCGCTCCATTTTGCCCGATACGTCGCCGCGGTAAATCTCCCGTCACCGCGGTGTTAGACGACAGGCCGCACAAGCGGCCACTGCTATCAGACTGGCCGGAACAATTACCGCGGCATAATATATATGCATACGACGCAATGCTCGGACTCGAACTGTAGCCGCGCGTTTGCCGCGACGACCGAACCGAGCGTCCAAACAAAAAACAATCGACGGTCACTCGCGGTATTGTCTGGTGGGATCGTCATCTGAACTGTCAAATACCGATTTAAAAACGTTACCAATTCGTCTTTTCCCATTTGCAATCTTTTACATAAGCGGTTTTAAGTTTTTTTTTTTTAACAAGTGGTTAGTTTTATTGTTACGGGTCTCTATCGTTTTAGATTAGAAGTGGTTCGAATTTTGTATGTTCGAGTTGAAATTGCTAACAATGTGAGTAGCGTTCGTATACAATTCTGATTATGAATTTATGATTTTAGCGTGCGAATATTTACTTCAAAGCGCCGAGCTACGTTTGAGTATTAGTAATTTGAAATACCTTAGCATACGACTTAGGAATCTTTACAAATATTTGTCAACAACAAGCGTTGAGAGTCAAAATAGAGCGACAAACCGGTTGGTTGTTTTAAAAATAATCTGTACAAGTTTTCTCTATTTAACAGAATATTAACATAACTAATATAATACCGACAACTTTACTACGTCAATAATTATAGCATATGTATTAAGCTGACCAAACAGCAGCTTATGTATTAGACTTGAATGTATTTCTACTATCTGGTTTATACTGAACAATCAGTAGATGAGTATAAACCAATTTATAACACAACTAAAATCAACTTTTTTCCCTAAAATTTCATAAAAAAACCAGTGCAACAAAGAAATGATTGAGTTTAGGACATGTCCCTTCTTTGCTCGACCTTGACAAGTCTCTATCGTCTCACATACATAACATGTTTGAATGTTTTCTACCGGCTTCAAAAGGAGGGGGTTCTCAATTCGACTGTATTTATTTTATGTTTGTTACTTCATAACTTTCGAGTGGTTGGACTAATTATGGTGATTCTTTATTTATTTGAAAGCTGATGCTTCCCATGTGGTCCCATATTAATTTCATTGGTACTGGATCTTGGGCTCCGGAGATATTTAAATAACTCCTGAAACTCAATTATAAAATAAATACAGAACGAGATTTAAAGTCGGTTTTGTTTTTCATTATAAAATGAACTTGTCACATTTGTAATTTTATTCTTCCATTTACGAACCGTGTCCCCAGATCGTAAGTTAACGTTTCAAGCAGTATTATTGATTTGATTTGCATATTCAAAATAGGACGATGAGAGCTGTTTCGCGTACTTTTTGTATGTTAATAATCTGTGGGAAAGTGTTTTACACAGACGCTTAAGAAAAACAGAGGATTAAGGAAATCCCCATTGAAGATTCATCTAATGCGCTACCTGACAGTGAGCACGTCGCGCGTCGGACCACAAGTCACAGTTCCGTTAAAATGTGAATCGTTGTTTGTTAACGTGAATATGATTACATTAATACGCTCAAAAACCCAGTGGCAATAACATTTTTATAGCAATTTTCAGTGTTTGATGACTCGGTGGGGCAGTTGCTAAGCTGTTGGCTCGGGCACCGAACGTTGTGGATTCGATTCCCACGCGGAAAATGTGTTTGTGTAAAAACAGTTAATTATTCCGGATCTGGGAATGGGATCTGGGAATCCGGTTTGCTCTCAAGGAAAATGACGTGAAGAAAGCGAATGGTCGTAAAACCTACTATTGCACATTGGGTCGCTTGGCACATTGTGACCAAACTGAGTATATATGTATTTAAAAGATACGGTTTTGACTATAATTTATTACAATCTTTATCAATTTAAATGTCGTTATTTATTAAATGATTATTTTGCATCAGGAACATTTAAAATGTCGCCAAAAACGAGAATAGGTACTTCAGAAGTTTCGTTGAAACGTTTCATTGGTCGGATCCGGAAAGTATTGTATGTATGTATATCATTCTTTGTCGTGATAAGGATAGTTTCCGCGTTCAGTGCCGCACATCTCTTCGAAGCTCACAAGCAGGATGTTTTATGGCACGTAGCATAAGAGCTAGGCTCATTGATTCGAGCTCCCGCGCGAATCAATCACTCCCGTATAAGATACCAAACTCGTGGGTTCTGGCTAGCTCTCGGGTTCTGCGTTCGATTAAGTTTTAATAGTCTACTGACTGAAATCACATATACTTAAAAACGATGCGTAGACCTTTTTTTCATAATCCTTCACCAAGTTCCGTCTACACAGACAACATAAAAGTTTTAAGCTTCGCGTGTACTTTTGGCTTTGTTATACATATTATATGTCATAATTATTAGATAGTATAAAATCTTGCAAGTAATTCTAACGAGTTTAAAAATTAGTCTCAGGTTGAATCAGTTAGTAAAACGGTTGTGTTCAGTTGATTTATATTTTAAATAGGTTTATCTCATTTCAAGATATGTAATAGGTTTATCTCATTCAAGATATGTATTTCAAAATATGTATTGTGTTATATAAATATAAAACAATACATATCTTTCCAGTAGTGGGGATCGAACCCGGTGTGGATAGTGGCGCGAAAGATAGGGTCACCATCCACTAGCCAATTGGGTCGTCAAAATCTAAGCAACATGATAGATAACAAATCCTAACATAGTAAACTATGTATATAACATAGTTTATATGTGTTTTACATGCGATATGCAAACATTAATATGAAAGTTAATTATGGCAGATTTTAGAAAATAATAAAGACTTATTATTTAAAATAAATAAAAAAAGCCTTTTATTTAATTTTCGTTGACAAGTTGTTTTGTTGAAAATTACGTCTATTGTTAACTTTTACAACATTTGTTGTTTTTAAACAATACAAATATTACAAAAAAAAATAATGACATTACTTTGTGTAGAGATGACATTTGACAAGGGTTGAAATCCAAAAAGTGGTAGGAATGCTACAAATTGACAGCAACAAATTGGAGCTGGCGTCCCGAAATTTGACGCAGCAGACCTGGCAACACTACTAATATCAAAATATGACGGGGGTCAGTCTTTACATCTAATTAAAATGTGAATTTCCTTAACGCGAGAGACTACTAATGAAACCAGCCTCACTAAACTTGTGTGGTTTCCATTACATTTCTTTTTCCCATCACTTCGCAATGAAACTGACGTTTTTCCTTTCAAACTATTTACAATCAATTGTCCAACAGACAGTTTTTTATAAACCGTATTTGTACTTGTATTACAATGAGTAGAACCCCGTTTTTATTTTTAATAATAAATTTAAATTCTTACTATTTTGACCAGTATGGCTGTTATTATTCTCTTATTTGACTTTTAAAACAATAATACAAGGGAAACTTTAAGATTAATAATGGCTCAACCTGTCTCACTCCGTTAAAGAATTGAAAGCTGACTTTCGTAGTGATCTATTAAAAACAAAGAGAATGATCTGGTATAGAAAAAAAGTAAAAAAAGTGTGTAAATGATTGTGATACCAACCGCGGCCGTCTATTTTGGGGCCGCCCGATTACCGAGCTATTATAACATTTTTTTTTTGCGGCGAAATTTACTGTCATATTAGAATGATATTTTTCATTCCCTGAAAACAGGCATAAAAGGATATTTTCTAAAAATGAAACCTAGCTAGATCGATTGTTCGCCCCCTGAGATTTACTCAGTCTTGCTGATTGTCCAGCAACTGTTTTGGACTGTACACAAAGGCTTTTTAATAAAACGTATTTTTAATCGTTATTTTAGCAGCGAAAAAATTGCAGTTTGCTGTTTCAAAAACACATTGCGTCTTCAGCTATGCTTATTGATTAACAAACGTATACACACAACCAATCATCTACACCCGTGCATGTGTGTAAAGTTACGTCTAGTTTTAATGTTGGCGTATACTGGTGTCTGTGTTATGACAATTACGTGCGAAAACCAGAGTCTTTTTAAATAATACACACAACGTAATGTCAATTAGCAAACACATTTAGAACTAGTAGTAATGGCTGGATTATACGTAGATAAACATTTAACGAGACACTGAGTTAGCTCTTATGTGTAACGGTAATGCGAGTTGACGTTGCATTTTGGACGCGGGATTTCCTACGATCTGGTCACGGAGAAAACCACGAAAATGTATAAATACCACTAATAAGGTGGTAATTTATATATCCTACATTTTCGTTCAGAGAGCTAAGGCGATATTTGCTTCACGCAAAACCGCAATTGTTTATTACTTTGTGCTGTTAATATTAATTAGTTCACTGAAAGTCCATGTACATAAAATAATATCAAATAGTGTCCACGAGCTCTTGTATTTTATGACTAACTCCCGAATATCTTATTTTCGCAATATTGGTACTAACATATTAGTACTTGTATAGTAAACTCTTAATTGAAGTTGCAGTTATCTTCAAGCCACTACTTGATTTGTTTTATGCCAGAATTGTTTGCACATTTACTACGTTTACACCTAAGTCTATGGATGAGGAAAAAGCGAAACTATCCTTGAATACGAAGGAACTTTATTTGATAAATAAATGACAATAGTTCTCGTAATCCAGCATCATGCAATCACTTATTGGATATTGTACACAGCCAAATAGCTTCCATTAATAGTTCAAATGGTGCAAATAGACAATGGAATTTGTGACTATATAATGGTTATAAATATTATTTTATTATAACGTCCAAAAGTGCATGCGAATAAATATTTGAGGAAATGACATCGATAGATTTAAATGTTAAAATTTAGTAGACAATTACAATGTAATACATTTTTTTTAATATCATCGTAACATAGAAATATTGGTTATTAGGAAGATTTTTGTATATTGAATTTCAAATATGGATAATAGAAAATATTAGTACATTTTCTTACAACTAGCTTAAGATCACAAATTTAAAGACATAAGTACAATATATGACTGTAGCAAAAGAGTTGAATTTTATCTCAATTCTTTGAAAATTCCTTTAAACAAAAATTGATAATAAAGTTCTAAAATAACGTAACCTAGTTATTAAACATAGATCAAAATTAATCACATACAAATCTATTTAAAACTGTTTGTTTTTGGTTCAAATTGATGCGTAAAAGTTTATTTTTTTCTACTTTAGTAAATTGAAGCATAAAATATTTACAATAAACAAAATAACAAATACGAATAAATAATAGGTATGAACCATTCCGTAAAAATTTAAGACAATTCATAATTTTGGAAACATATCGTTGTTTCAAGCACTATACTAATAATAGAATAAAATTAATGTTAGATTTTATTATTAAATAGTTTTGTTTTATTATTATACTTAAGGATTTGAGGTTTCTTACCCTTGACAAATGAGGAATGGATTCATTTCGTCCTCATTAATTTCCTAAATTTAAGTTCAATTTGAATAATTATTCGGTAAATAGGATACTAATAAGATATACATATAGACTTAAAAATGGCGTAGGGTCAATCAAGCCTAAATAAAATAAATGCTTGTGCGCTTAAAGACATTAATCCCTGCATATATAACTCTAACCTAAAAAACTGATAGACAATTAAAACATTTACAACATGAAATTCTAACAATAAAAGTAATTTTACAAAATACGCTTTAGACCAAGAAAATAGTATTGATAGTAATCTTCAATCTAAATAAAGTAAGTGTATGTTATATAAAAATAAACGTTACCTTTTTTTAAAACATTTTTATACAATAGTTGTGAGCTTTAAAACGTTTAAGAAAGTTAATAGAAAGGAGTATCTGCGCTTTGATATATGTAATTAGGGAATACACTCGTTTGTGTTGATGTAACCTGCGAAGCCGGTGAGCGTAATTCATTTGCGAGTCGGTGTATAGCCGAGTGGCTTGTTGGGCGCGTCGGCTGGGAAACGGGAGGACCGGCGTCAGGGCTGGGCGGCGACGCGGTTCCTGCGCGCCGACTCCCTGGAGGCGCTGTGGACTTCGGCCGTGCGGAGAGTGATGCCGAATATGTCCTCGTGATAGCGGTTCTCCTCCTGCACAGACATCTTTAGTGGGATGGTGGCAAGCAAGCCGCCCGTGCACATTTGCAACACCCGTGAGGTTGCAGATGCGTTGCCGCATTTTAATAAATTGGAACCCGGCTACGTCATTAACCAGACGAAACGCATTGTAACACTTCCACTCCTCGCCGGTCTTCCGCGAGATCGTGGTACTTACCCGGAAGGACCTGCCCATCCACCATGCTGACCAGCTCAATCAGGGTATAGATTCTGCCTCACGGTAGAATGTCCCCACGTGAACGGAGATGTTCAAACTTTTCTATTTAAAATTCAAGAGTAAAGTAGAGTAATAAAGTGGTAAATATATCTTATACGCTTAAATAAAGCACTTAAATTTTAATATAAACGTTAAGTGAATATTATACTATAATAATTATAATACATAGTGCAAATAATACATACGTTATAGTTATTAGCATTTTAACAAAACATTTATAATATCTCAGTCGCTGCAACATAGCTATTGATTAATTAACATGAGCGGTGTCCTTATGGCATTGGCAAACTGTTTATGATAAAACTACGCTAATTAGTGCAAATGTCATCCGTGTTTTGCAGAACTGAACTATGTAGAACTATTCTATGAATAACAATTAAAATCATTACCTTTAGCAAAAACATGAAGTTTTGCACTTGTTCATCAGTCATTGCGCCGTGCTTTTTGATGATACCCTTTAATTTTTGATGAACGTCTTCGGCCATTTTGCAGTCGCCGCAGACGTAGAAATGCGCTCCACGGTTGACCAACAATTCGTAAATCTCTGAACCTTCATTTTCGGCCAGTTCTTGTACGTACATCTGGGAAAGGAAAAACATATATAATAAAACATTAAAGAATGTGCTCTTTACTCGTACTCACGAGCATTAACGTAAGCAATAGTTGGCCCAAAATGTGTAGTAAGTAATTGTAGAAAATATAAGTATGATGTGAAGTTAAAATAATATAGTTAACTCACTTTCGGAATATTTTTCTCACGAGACAGTGCGAGGAAAACTTTCGACAGTACGCCTTCCTTGAGCGCTTGCTCCTTTTCCTCTCGATACAAGTCCATCGTCTTAGTACGGCATCCGAAAAATAGCCACACCGGACCAGCCGTTGGGCGCGATCGAGAGGTCAGCTGTGCCTTACGGTGATGCCAAAATCCACGGAACGGTGCGATGCCAGTTCCAGGCCCGATCAGTATAAGAGGTACCGTCAAGTCTTGGGGCAGGTGGAAGTTTGGTGCACTAGAAATTAATAAGGTAATGTTAGAGAGGTCTTCTTGAATTAGCAAGATTCTATTTAGGAGATAAAATACCTTCGTATGAATAAGTAAACTTCGTCGCCAGGCTTGCGATCCATAAGATAATTTGAACAAACACCATAATGGACAGGACCTTCGCCATCTGTGTAAAGATGACATCATTTATGTTTCCTCATATACGATATAAACAGTTAATGAAACCTAACATACTGCAGTATTCAATTAATACTAAGCTGGAATCTTAGTTATTATGTTAAAGATTTAAATAATTGAAAATAATAATAATCCTTTATCATTCTCAAATCAAGAAGTTTGTTATTGTTTCATATAATTGTTAATAATAAGTTCGATATTACCCATTTCATTATTATTTAACAGCAATGGATAACAAGCTGATAATGCTATGTTTTCCGTACTCACCTTGTGTTCTATAGGTGACTACCGCTACAGTGAGGTGTAACCGTTTTGGATGAGCTATAGGGGATGATGAGATTGAATAGAATCTGGGTTGCAATGGCGATAGCAGAGCAGCCAACAAAGATGCACTTGGCTTGGCTGACGGAAACTGATCCAACACCTCAGGGAGCGTCGGAAAATGGAAATGACGCCAATCTTCATACGCTGCTGGATCCTAAAGCAGTGAATTGTAATTAAGTATGCGCTAACGAAAGGTAACTGATATCTGCATTTTAAATTAGCAAAGTACTCACTGTAGCCAGAATGTTCAATTGTTTCTTTTCTTCATCATTCTCACATGTCTTTGCTAAATATTGTAATAAAATCGTCGTGGGTGGGGTTGTGATATCTAAGAAACGCGTGAACAGATCCCTCACGCTCACCGGAGGAAGTCTTTCGTGCGGCTCCCAAGACTTAACTGGTCCTAAAATGTCACTGGAGTTTATATTGGACCTTTTTAGATTGAAGTGTGAAGTCTCATCGTAGCGTTACTTACCACTTGAAGTGTGAGTCTCCTTCATTAATTGCAATTGTACGGGCTCGTTATAATCACTGACATCTTTTAATCTAGCCAATAAGCTTTCCACTAGCTCCTTACGATTACACGCAATAATACCAACATGGTCTCCGGGATCGTACTTAATTTCACTCTGTAATATCATCATTGTGATTAACATTTTTGATTAAACTTTTATCGTAACTCATTGTATCGACATACAATATTGTCAAAGATCACCTTTGGTTCCATGTCGATGAAAATGGTAGATCTCTCAGCAGAAGAATCGCCTAGGTCTTTGTTGGCTTTAACGATGCACGTTACCAGTTGGCGATTCAGGGCAGATTGCAAAGCCACCGGTAATGCTGGAGGCTGAACCGCCGGACAGGCAAATCTAACAGTCTCCTCGCTTAGAGTAAAAGAACCGAGAGCTCTCTTTGCTTCTTGAAGAGTTTCGTCATCGTCTAAGCAGAATGTCTCACACGCCACCTGCACATAATTATGATTTATCATATATACTAAATAAATTCAATAACTGTAACATATTCAGTCAATAAATTAAAGTTTGAATTCACAATTCCAATCAATCAATCTTAACAGATTCATTAAGAGTTCATTAAAATGTAATTCTACTAACAAACAATGTCATTTAAACAATCGCTTACGTTAAAAACGCTAGAGGCCCATTTCCGGAAGGCTTGATCTTGACCGCACATTTCGTCGCCCGTGGCGACGTCGTGAATACGCTCACCTCCGAGGTCCCCGAGCAACTTGTCAACGTACTTGCCGAAGTTACAGAAATTCGGATAAGCGCTGGAACCCAGAGCGAACACGGCGAAGCGAACGTTGCTTAGCGGGCCGAAACTATCTATCGATGCCGCATCCGTAGCACTACCTATTAAATATGGTTTTTGTGATTAATAGTTTAGGCGAAAAACTTTATTTAAACGACTACTATTTCTTCACCTTCAGAGTGATCAAATTTAACAAAAATCACGTTTTAACATTTACAACTTGCTATATCAAACTTTGGAGAATTAAAATCGATTACTTAATATCTAAAGATACCAGCTGAAGCTTGAAGCTGATACATCTAGTTATTTAACTGTTTTTTTATTTACTGCCGACGTTAATATTTTTATTACCTTTCAGAGATTCTAATCTGTTGAGCTGTTTCGGGTTTCCAGTACTATAACGCTGGAGTTCTATTTGGCTATTTGCTTTTATGAAGGATTTTGGTGTCAACATTTGGGAGCTCCTTAAAATGAATGGGATCATTATTAGTTACAATTGCACAAAAGTATACAGTAACTCCATTGCAAACGATAATTTCCAAAAATACGACAAAAATGTCTCACCCTGTAGAATCTTCACCTGCTACTTGATCAGCGTACAAAATTTCGCATAGGTGCTCACCAAATGCCTAAAAAATTACATTTTCTAGAAAAAGTCAAAAGATAAGTTATAACAGAAGACAAAAAGATTCTTACCACGCCATTTTCTGGTGGATCACCATTTCCAAATGTTGAGGTTACAACCAGTAGCAAGGCTTCATGTTCTATAGAGGTTATATCATAGTCTGCCATACAATGCACCTACGAAATTTTTGAGATATAAACGATATAGGTAAATTTAAACTTCTAAAAAATATTGACAATTATCTTATAGTTTCCTTTTTTTATGTGAAAAGTTGCCAAGCGAGCCGACGGTTCACCTGATGTTAACTGAATACCGCCGCCCATGGACATCTGCTACACCTGAAGGTTCCAGATGCGTTGACAACCGTTTGAAAATTGGGCTCTAGTTTCCTTGTTTTAAATCTGTTGCATACTTTTAATTCTTTAGCCATCAAAAGCAACCTTTATAACAATTATAGGGGGATATAAAATATCGAATACTTTGTACTGTTATATCATATATTGGTTCGCATTACGAAATGAATGACTCAATATTTTTTCTTATTTTCCTCTCGATTCAAATAACTTTAATTAAAAAAAAAAGATAAGAAATTTGATTGTACCGACTCCACACCACTACTTTCATTCTACTTTGATTTCCCAGCGCTATACGGTCTTAGCAAGTGGCCAACCAGAAACAAAACTTAAATTTGTATTGGCATTAACTTTTAATTACCTGAGCATTGAATGCGTGACCGAAAATGACTCCTAGCTCCTTAGCATACTGCTCAGACTTGCCGGTCTCGGTCGCGTACAACACCGTCGCTTTAATCCTCTTGGAGAGCGCCCGTCCGAACAGTTTCGAGGTGAACTTGACGGCGCGCGCGATTTGCTTAAAGTGGAATTTCCTGTTGATGGGCCTCTTGCCGGTGATAGGCTTCGATTTTTGCCACTGGTGCGTCTTCCATGCCGGTTCCTGTTTAAGACACAGCGCTGTTACGACAGAAGTTTATCACTAAATGTCAGCTGACGCACAAACCAGAGAATCATAACAAACATTGGCTTAAGTTCGATTAAGGAGTATCTTATGTTATGTATGTGCTCAAAATAATAACAAATAATTACAATCCAAATTGATCTCTTTGAAATGCCATCAAAAAGTTTCCTTACTGTTTTCTTTTTTAACTGTAATCTCGCCAATTTACTTCACTTACTAATGTCAGATATATTATCACAATAAATTAAAAAATGCGTAAAATAGTTTCATTTAGCTGTGTTTAGTATTCGCATAGAACACGTTAATCATTTTTTTACCAAGATATAACAAATTTTTTAATGTGACTTTTGAGTTTAGGTTGTCAACGTTTGCAGATGCAAACCCTCGGGTGTAGCAAATGTTCATGGGCGGCGGTATTCACTTAACATCAGGTGAACCGTCTGCTCGTTTGGCAACTTTTCACATAAAAAAAAGAGTTCCAGTACCCATCAACAAATAGAAGTCGGGGAAGGGACTGACAGACTTTTTACAGTATTTCCTTGTGCAAAGTCTTCTTCGGCTCTACGAGAAAGAGGACATAAGGTCCCCACCGGGATCCCACTAGACAACACCATACCCACTAATAGTGCTAACACACATGACAAATTAGGTAGATATTGCCGTGCTCGTTAGCCACGATGACCTCACTCACGAGCACAAGGTTCACCCACGTTCCAGCGGTTCTCATCAACCCTATTTTCCGGCTAATAAAGTCTACGGCCGTGACATTCTTCCCGTTTAAATGAATGCACGCAAGAGCAGAAACCTGGCCCTACTACTACTAAGACTTTATCAAGCTCTCCAGTCCTGGCTAGCCCATGAGTTCCACGATCGATGAACCTTTAATAGTCTACGTATTAAATGCAAAAATATCAGTTAAAGTTAAGTTCCTTTTTTCTTAAAAGGTCGCAACCTCTACCTGGTATTCATAAGCGGGGCGTAAGTAATACAGCGCCATCTCTTGGTGAAACACCGGTGTTATTGAAGACGACATAGGTGGAACAATCCAAATCCAATCTGCGGGACACCCGGATCTATGAAAGGTTTTTTACATTAACTTTGTTCTTAATCGTCGCAAAGTAACATTCACAAATATATATTTATAATTGTATTGCTTAAATTATATATTTATTAATATATTTTGTAAATATTAAATTAGTTTTATCGATTCCATTTAAGTCTACGTCTTGTACCTGTGATAATAATATAAAACAAATATATAAGAGCTGCGTCGTTACTATTTACTCAGTATTACTATTAAATAATGCCGCGGTTCATTCGAAAAAAGAACCTTCACAAAACAACTGTACGCTTTCCCAATTTTATGAAAGGTACATACTGAGTTATTAACATTCTTTTTTATAATAAAGAAATGGGGTATGACAGTATTTCGCCAAAATTTTCAAAATATTATTGCAGCACAAGAGGTATTGTCAATCTTTAAAATCTATGCTGAGCACCTCAGCACAAGACGCAGAAGTATATAGGTAACTCTTAATTTATGCCACAAGGCCGTGGCAGTTCCTCAGTTGAGCCAACCCGTTCACTCACCACCAATTGAGAGAAAATATGGAATAAAAACTATCGAGTGAATCAAATTGTACATCTAGAATTTCTTTGGAGTTTTATCTGCCACTCCAAAGTAATTACAGATATACATGAGTAGTGGTTACCACTTCACACCAGGTGAACCGCTTGCTCACCTATCATTTTCTCACATATGAAAAACCTAATCCAAAAATATTATTGAACAAATCGTACATTTGTACGCGTCTGTCTGTTTATGGACATATAATTATAGAAAAGTATGGGCTTCTAACTTCGAAGCCGTGAGTTCAATGTCCAGGCGCCTGGTTTTAATTTAGCATACTCAAGCAGTTCGAGTACAAACTCCTGTGCCTGCCTGATACCAATGAAATTATTAATTACAATTTAAAGCGCTGTCTTATCATGTGCTCGGAGGTTAAGGAAAACAAAGTGTCGACTTATCACGTGCTCGGCAGAGAAGAAACATCGCGGAAAGAAAACGTCGTGTCAAGCAAAAAATCCACAGTGTAGTCGCATGGTGGACTCACCCTCTGAACAGCGGAGACCTTTTCTCAGCAATGGGACATATACAAGCTGTTACTTTACTTTTTAATTTAGAATCATTTAATCGCTAGACATGAATCATTTGATAAGAAGAAAAAACCTTATCACAGCGGGATTTAGTATTTTAGTGTTTTTAAGTACGTATATCAAGGCGCCCATATAGGATATCCATCCAAATAGAATCGTTAGACCCAAACAATCACACGGTGTACGTCGGATTTGTTTTTGCATACGTTCCGACACATGTGTTGATGTTTTTCATCCAGATAACAGTCTGCGAGGTTTTCGTGTTGATAGTTTTACAGCCCCTCGTCGGGTCGCATGGGCGTATTACACAGATTTGTGTGTAGAATTAAGAAACATGTGTAGATCTACGAATTTATGTCATCATTCAAGGAAGGAGTAAAAGAGATAGGAAATGCTACGTATTCTAGTGAGGATATTATCGCTTCAGTCCCAAAACACGGTACGTATTCAACCTGTTGTTTATCACAAGTATGAGACAGGGATTTCTTGAGTTTAAGCAACAGGAACCGAAAACGAGGGAGAATTATTAAATATTTGTGAAAGTCACCAGGATTAAGTAACAGATAACAACAGTATTAAAAACGGTTTTCGACCACGTCAATTAAGTTCTTTAACGTAATATTAATTGAATATATTATGATTTTTTTTTTAATAAGTATAGAATATAAATAAGTACCAAGAAAAATTAACTTCATCTTGTCATTTGTTATCTGTTATATTAACACTAATTATAGAACACACATACACAACTAACTCTACAAACATATCTCGTAGTGTTTTTTATAAGATTTTATTTGTCTGTAAATATCGATATAAATTAAAAGTTTTGTTTTCGGAACCTTCGCAACATTTTAACTAGGCGCCTTTTGTTGTGTTTGTAATAAAATGCACTTTAATTAAAAAACAAAAACAAAAGGTTTTTTACTCACCTCAATCTGTTCTCATTGTCCAGGTGCTTTATAAAACTCTCCGAGGCTGTGTGGTGGTCAACAATTGTAGCGTTATGCTGCTGGAAGCTATGGAGCACCGCAATATTGACTTCAACGAGAGCTTTGTCTTTCCATAGATTAACCGGTGTTCTTGTATCTAAACCCATTTTCTGCGCAACTTTCTATACACAACAAAAGTTTTGTTTTCATTAAAATTCAGGGCTATTGGAAATACTAAATTAAATTAAACTTGAGATAGACGTAATGTAGTTTTGATATGAAAAGTAATTTAATGAGTCTGACCAGGTCAATAACTGTTGGCTATATATTGCCTGTAGTCACATTTTGTATGGACTCACATTAGTAAATAAGGAAGCGAAATTCTTATAATTGAACTATGCTTTTAACAGTATACTTATAAATAGCATGCTACACAATACAGCATATTAAGAATTTATAAAACCACAAGAAGGTTTCAGCAAAATATACATAGAAGAGTTTCACTTAACTTTTTTTAATCTCCTTAAATAACATATTTTTAATACCAAATAATATACATATAAAAATTTATACAGGTATTAAGTATCATTATAATGTATTTATATCTATTAGGATTAACGTAATAATATTCAATGCTTCTAAACATTTGTAAAAGGACCTTATCCTAATTAGAAACTCCTTCAGATCTTATTTCACTGACTTCGGTATGCAGCGCAAATAAATTGAAGTTGACTTTGGAGGATGAAGATTTTTCTGAGATTTTTCTGACGTTGAAGAGAATGTCAAATTGCTTTCGCTTGTTTACCTCTTCGGTGTCGCGAATATTTGAACGAAGTTCAGTTTACAAGAATATTAATTTCAAAAATTTTTCGAAAACAATTAAAATGATGCAAGGTGCAAATAAAACTCGTACTTAAGTTGGTCGTGCCGCGATGAATTTGCATATCTTATATTTGGGCAATGTTTTTAATGAATATAAAGTTGAGAGCTATTTTCAGCAAATGACAATTGAACACAGTAACACTTATTTTAAACGTATGTAAATATATAAAGGCTCGGGCAAACTAACATTCTCATTCATCAGACTTTCGATAGACATCAATAGGTCTCTTTTTACGCAGTTCTTTATCCTGTTAGAAAGCCAATAAGTATCCGTTTAGGCCAAACAAGCCGTGCAAAAACAATCGAGCCCAATCTTTTATTTTGTTTACCCACCTCCAGCATGTTCAGGCGGTTTGTGTCGCAAAAGTTGCGACACCCAATCTCGGTGCTCATGTACCAGCCATTGAAGGCGTTGGCGGTGAACTCGATACCACCGCAGTCGAACCGCATACTGGAGACAGCGGGCAAGGCGTACCAACGGAGCTCCAGTTCTCTGAACCACTCGTAACTGCAAAAAGTGTCTGAATGAAAATTGCTCCAATATATTACAAAGGTGTTTGTAATATATTATATATTAGAGAGACCATATGTTTTACCATATGTATTAGAGAGAGATAGTGTACATTACTCTATCTCTCTTCAAGTTCCAACGGCGGAATGAGTTTAATGAAATAAATCTTATGAGCTGAATTATAATTTTAGACAGTTATGCTGCATTACAACTATCACGTCAAAATGATTTTATTTTGAAAATCATTACTAAAAGAAACCTTGACCTTAGGAATGTATTGATTCTAATGATTTTACAGCATTTCTACCTTAGAAATAATGATTTCATTGCCGTACTGTATTAAAAATAACCCGTTCCATACTTATATATATATATATCATCATCATATAACACCATCGCTAAATTAACTCCGTTCCATACAACATCATCTTTTATGTTTTGAACAAAGCGAATTCGATTTGTATAGAGCTTACATGAGATTTCACAGGCATCCAAACACGGCGCAAATCTACTTCGGCTATTTATGTTCAGAGACATGAATGATTATTGTATAGCAAAATTTTGCAAGCGTCTCAAGAGGAATATGATGCCTGTTGTAAACGAAAACATACAAAGTGATACCCAACCAATACAAGCCGCCTGATATCATTCGTTTTAAACGAAATACTACATCACTATACCTCTTCTTCTAATCTGATACTTTTTATCTCCATTTTTATTAAAACTAAACTTTTTTTATTATGAAAGGTACGTCGCGCCGATTGGTACAGTGATCTAGAGATTTTTTTGATAATTTTGACCCGTTAAATGTTCTGCCGTTCCATTAGGTGACAATATTTCTTGACAAGTATTTGAAAAACGGCCAATATAATTACTATACATCTTTATAACCGAAGTATTTTTTGTGTGAGAAACTTCAATCAGAACTTATCACGCCTTTTTATAACACATTAACGCCTGTTAACAATATCAATGGCGCAACATTATTGAATGGGCCGGATTTATAGGCCATAAACTTAGATTGGAGATCACTGGACCACAGTTTTACGATAAGCAATCCACTCTGTATGGGGCTATCGTCAGTTGCGGGCTCCACCTCACCACAATATGAATTCTTCGCGTTTTTATGTGGACATAAATCTCTGATGGAAAACGGATGCCGTGTTGCTTATAAGTGGCCGTGTAATACTTAGTTGATGTCGTAAATGATAAGGCGTATGGCAGTAATGGCAGATTTTTTAACAGTAGCCCAAATAGTGCTATTTTAAAAATATATTCCAAAGTATGTGATTTAAATACTTTTGATGTTTGAAATTGACAGCGCCGTAATTCCTGTGATACGGATTTAATTCCTAGTTCAGGATTCAGGGAATATAGCTTCACGTATTGATTGAAAGATTGAAAGTTAACCCGGGCTACCGTCAATTAAGTTTGACACCAAGCCGTGAAACAACTCAGTCTGTTCCGTGACTCATGGTCAAGAGTGACGCTGGAAAAAGTTCGAAACATCGCGAATTAAAAATTTGAATTAAAACGCGATAAAATCCGTAAACTAGTTTGATTTAATGTCTCTTATAGAAAAAAAATAGTTAATTAGGTCTATGATTTATTAAAGTAGCTATTTCGTAACGTATAATATTTGAACATCACATGAAAAATAAGCGTATTGATATAAGTTTACTTAACTCCCTTAAGTTTACATAATTTCTACTTAAATGGATAATAAGAAAATGCTTAAAATGCAATCGAGTTAAGTTGTGAAAGTGTTACATAAGACACTTACTTCGGATGGGTCATTTGGATTTCCATGACAAGGTCACGGGGAATCTCGAAGTAGTCCGGATCCTTTCCATTAGCGGACAACACCAGAGGCAATATGTCCCAAGCGGTACGGGAAGGCTTCCACCCCAGTTTCAGACACAACTGCAAGAAACAAGTATATCAGAATGTATATTAGATATTATATGTTTGAAATACACACAGTCCTATAATGTGCGGAAGATTTATAGAATCTTAGCACGTTTAATTTAAATTAAAAGTAAATCGGTAAGTTCCATATTTTATTTGAGATGTTTTGGTGAATTTATTATTTTTATAGCTTATAATATAATTGAATTTGAAAGATTTAGTAGTAGATAAATTTTATTGAAAGTTCTATGTCAATTTTTATTTTGCTTACTTACTAAGAATTTATGTATGCCTCCTATTGATGGTTTTACAATTTCTCAGTTTCAGTTAAGGTAAGGTAATAGTTTCTGATGAATTGAATCAAACTAAATATACTAACGTCAAATGTAACATCTGACTAATAAAAAAAGACGACTTTAGTCGATTGAAGCCAAAGGATTCAAGTTATAAATATTAATGAAAAACAAACGACGGCTTGAAAGTGTTGTAAACACAGACGGGCCAGGTGCACTCGATTTCCAATAAGTCAATTTTGAGTGATTAATTGCCAACTGTGAGCAAATTGAACTTTTTCATTTTCCCGGCTACAGCCTACCTGACGACGTTCAACAAATAAAAGTCAAGTAATGATTAATCAAGTAATTTCCAGAGCTAAATCAAATAGAGGCATCCGCGTGTAGGTTAGCGCTCACCGGCCACAGGCCGCTTGTACTAGTCTCAGCCTACCTCTCGGGGAATAGAACCCTCCTTCAAAGCGACCTAGATACGCTTCTAAACTTAGGCCCTTCCGTGATAATTGCAGGAGATCTAAACTGCAAACACGGCTCATGGGACATCAACAGCATCCCAAACAACAACGGAAAGCATATCTTTAGCTTATCCGATAACCTAAATTTCAGTATAGTCACTCCCGCGACTCCCACTAGGTACCCTACGGTGGACAACTACCAGCACGCGTCACCGAGTGTCCTAGACATAATGTTATTCAGGGAGGTCTCGCTCGACATCGAGTCGATAGAGACAATCCATGAACTAGACTCAGATCACAGGCCCGTCCTGTGTAAACTGGGCCAGAACGCGCCGGCGCGGTCCCTCCGACCAAATCCGTAGTGGACTGGCATCGTCTTGAGGTCAAACTCAAGGCCTTGGACCCCCAGAACTTAGTAGACTTACCCGAGACGATAGCTACGTTCGATGACGCAAATCGAGCGATAGCGAGTCTCCGCGAAACTATCACTTCCGCAGTCGCAGACTCGGAACGGACGGTGAAACTGTCGGGCGACCGGCGGTTTAACTTTCCGCCCGACCTGCGACTGCTAATTAGACAGAAAAATGCAGCCAAACGCGCCTTCGACCGATCGGAATCGAACCGAACCCTACTTCGACGCCTTCAGCTAGAAGTCAAAGATCGTGTATCGGAACACCGACACACAACGTGAGACTCTCTCCTAGAGGACATCGAGCCATCGCACACCGCCTACTGGCGGTTGGCCCGCAGTCTGAAAGCAGACCCCCGCGAATCTCTACCGCCGTTAGTTAGACCTAATAGCGCTTCAGAAGCCCTAGATGACTCCGAAAAAGCCGAATGCCTTGCGGACAACCTAGAGCAGCAATGTACGCCATCGCGCGAACACACCGATTCGGTCCACCTAACGGAGGTGGACCGCTTAATCGAGACTAGGGCTGCGCTTCCACCGGAAGGCGAAACTTTAAATTCAGTGACCTCCGAAGAGGTCCAAGATATTATTAAAAATTTAAAACCAAAATCCGCCCCGGGCCCAGTTAATATAAGTAATAAGATTCTCAAAGCTCTCCCTGGGCCGCTTATCTGTTTACTGGCGACAATTTTCAATACGCTTCTCTCCAGTTGCTCCTTTCCGGACGACTGGAAGCAAGCCACGGTTATCGGCATTCGCAAGCCGAATAAACCAGCCAATAAGCCCTCTAGCTATCGTCCCATCAGCCTCCTCAGTTGTCTGGGGAAGCTCTACGAGCGGCTATTGTTAAACAGGCTCAAAGAGCACGTATTTTCCAACGGCCTTCTGCCGACGGAACAATTCGGCTTTCGAGCTAGACACTCTTGTCCAGATCAGTTATAACGGAGCACATCCTAAAAGGCCTAAACCACCCGAAACATATCAGTACAGGGGCTCTTTTCTTCGATGTCGCAAAGGCATTCGACAAGGTCTGGCACAACGGCTTGCTTTACAAGCTGTACACACTCAAAGTGCCAGATAGGCTCGTACACACCATCCGGGCCTTTTTGTTGAACCGCTCTTTTCGATATAGAGTCGAGGGCACCCTCTCCACAAGCCGCCGCCTCACGGCCGGCGTACCACAAGGCTCCTGCCTCTCACCCTTGTTATTTACGCTCTACACGAGCGACATACCTAGAGACCCCCCACGTCAATCTCGCGCTTTTCGCGGATGACACGGCGCTCTTTTACTCAGATCGCAACCTCAACCAATTAACGACTCGACTCCAAAGCGCCGCCGACCGCCTCGGCGATTGGTTCCGCAAATGGAGAATCGATATTAACCCAGAAAAAAGTGTGGCGATTCACTTCACCCGTAGCACCCCCAACCCCCATCCGCCACACCGTTACAAAGGTCCTCGCCAGTACAGAAAGTTGGGGCAAATATCACTATACGGCCAAACTCTCCCCTGGGAGAAAACGGTCAAATATCTAGGAGTCACTTTCGACTCGCGTATGACTTTCACTACGCACATCAATCAAGTCCGAAATAAAGCCGCGTCGTCTCCGGCCGGCTACACAATTTAACGAATAAACATAGTAAAATGCCCTTAAGGCAAAAATTATTGTTATATAAAAGCTTGCGTAAGGCCAATCATGTCCTACGCATGCATGATCTTCGCACACATAAATCCTACGCGCATTGACGAATTGCAAGTAGTTCAAAGTAAGTTTATCCGCCGCGCAACCGGTGCGCAATGGTATCAGCGCAACGTCGACCTGCACAGCGATTGCAGACTCCCGACGATTCGCGCTCATTTTAAAGATTTGACAAAACGGTTCTTCGATAGAGCCCAGCATCATCCCAACCCTCTGGTGGTAAGCGCAGCAAACTACCTACCGGACACTAACGCGAACGTTAACAAGCGTCGCCCGCGAAACGTCCTCATCGACCCGGTCGACGAAGAGGACTTAGACACGATGGACCCACCGCCGGGGGTCCCGCCGGATAACACTACACCCACAGTTAGTGTAACAACAATCACACCACCCAGTTCGCCCTCGCCTCCGAGCACGGCGAGACCCACACAACGCGTACACAAGGTACACCCGCGTTCCGGGGCGGTTCTCACCGCTCCCAGCCACCGATTAGCTAAATGCACAGTCGACGGCCGTCGGGGTCTCGGTCCGAACCGGCGACCTCGACGGCCCTTAGATGACACACACCATAGTAGTTAAACGCATGCATGAGCACATGCGCGACCCTACCCATAGCGGAGGGTCCAAACCCGTGGGTTCTGGCTAGCCCACCGGTTCTGCGTCCGATGAAGCTTTAATAGTCTCGGGACTGAAAGCAAAAACATCAGTTAATACAAGATACAAGAAGATCAAGTAATTACTAATACATAGGCAAGTGCTAAATAAATGATTGAAACATCTAACCATCGTTGAATAATTTTTAAGCATTTTCGGTGAACGTAAAACCACATGTTCAACGTTTTTAAAAAATTTCATTCTAATTGCGTTAAGATATTTCTTTATAAACGTATCATCATTAGCGACTGATGTAATTCGAAGCTTTATATTATTTAAATTGAGACGTCAGGTAAAAGGAGAACATAAATTGATAAATAAATGAAAATATTTATATTGAAACGCTTCGTGCTGAAAATATATCAACAAGTATGCATAAATTTAACATGAGTAACAAAAACTGCGATTTTTTATTTACTGTGTATTTTATCAATGCGACTGCTGTTGTTTCCTCGTTTCTCTTAGTCAACTCACCTCAGTGAACTCGCAATGCATTGGATCCCCCAGCACGGTTCCATCTGGCTGTCTGTACCCTGCGTAGCTTATCAACTGACTGTTCCATATCCTGTAGTCGTGCTTACCATCTGTACGCTGTGGAAATACAGTAATGGCCGACCTGAAAGAAATCTTCGTTAACATTATTCAATTCTGGAATATCAAGAAGAAAGAACTTTCGAAATTCTAAAAAAGAAATAAGTTGTATGATAGATATCATTTCGCATTTATCGCTAACCTTATGTTTCCTTTGTTCGTGCTGTACTTAATATGATTGCAAAGTGCTTCGAACATTCCGCTTGTGGTTGTCACTTGTCTGCAATCGAATACCTGAAACAGAATATTAATATTGTCAATTCGATAATGGAATTAGCTTTAATAACTTACGTAAAGGATTTGCTTGGATATCACTTTGGAAGAGAATGTTGTCCACGTATCTAATAATTGTTTTTTAAATTCGATGGAACAGGCAGCTATTTTATATAATAATATATTTTCTTTTAATTTGATCTTGCTAAGTTTCTACGAATTATGCCGAAGATATAGTAATAGGAGAGTTAAATTTAGAATTCATTTAGCTCCATTGAAAATCATACCATAACTCGGAAGCTGTGCATACAATTTCAGTCCAATGAATCAAGCTTCGAATACGATGGCATTGCCATCATATATCGAAATAAAAATCAATTTATCTCACACGCACCTTTTGCAAGCTTTACACGCACCTAACGTAAGTAGGCACGTAAACAGATTACAAATCTAATCACTTTAGACATCTCCCACCAGTACGAATCGGGCTCCGATCCGCCGAAATGATTAACCCCAATCCATTTAAGAAACGCGATAATGAAAACGCTCGCGAACATCAGAAGGACTTAAAAGTGGGCTGGTAATGCGGATTCCAGCTTTACCCCTCCACCGACCAAAGCCGGGGAAAGTGAATGGAGACGGGCGAATAAATTACTCGTAATGTCGTTATACCGCCCGCGGCTCAATCAAGTCGCCTAATTAGAGAAAACATTTAGCATCTTTTCTGCTTCCACGGCCGGATACGGGGAAATTGATTGCGTAACCACTTCGCACTTTAAAGTTATTACGCTCCTCCCTCATTCATCGCTTCAATTATTTTATCTGCCACCTAAGAACTGGTAGTTGTAGCTTATTTATTTATTATATCACTTGCTACATGACTCGATGGCGCCGTTGCTAAAGTATTGGCTTTGGCGTCGACGGTCATGGGTTCGATTCCCACACGGGAATTTCTTCCAACGCCATAAAAAATAAATCGCGTGGATGTAAAATGTATGTATGGTACATATGAATGGACAAAAAATATGTTTAATTGAAATAGATTTGTTTCAATTTGCTATCATCCGATCCTGAGGAAGTTATTCACAAAAACGTCGGTTTTTAATGAAATACCAATACCAACTACGTAATTCTAAACTCATGCGCAAAACTATAAAGTTATGTAAACAATTTTAGTAGGTACTACATGACACTTAGAATCCTTACATTGTATTTACACGTAGACATAATATTTATACTTTGTAAATCAAATAGATGACATCCGATTTTTTAATCGTTCCTCAGTCACAGAAAAAAAAATGTGTCAAAGCACCTTGTGACAGTCAAAGTGCTGCTGGTCGAAGGTGGAATTTTTAAGTGTATTCGAAATAAAAAAGATCCGTTAAAATTTTCAGAAAATGTTTAATCTTAAGTGCAGATCTTAATAGCACTATAAAAAAAAATCCGTAAAGATCCGTTTTTATAAGTTTGGTAAAAAAGGTTTTCACTTTTCCTAAAAGAAATTCATGTATGGTTAGTTAAAAACTGTTAATGAATTGCACTCACTGGGCTTTAATACGTAAGACCTTTATTAGTGAAAACAAGAACATGATAAAAAAGTAAAATTGCATTTTCCGGAGTACATACTCGTTTCTGTGACCTGAGACGAGTTGATATGTTATTTGCTAGGCTTAGGCTATATAGCGCTTCGTAAGATACTAACTTGCAAAAATGATTATTTAAAGATAATTATTACTTCATTACTTAGTATAAAACAAAGTTGTCCCGCTGTCTGTCTGTCCCTATGCTTAGATCTTTAAAACTACGCAACGGATTCTTGATGCGGTTTTTTGTTACTAGATAGAGTGATTCAAGATGAAGGTTTATATGTACTATACATTGCACCCGTGAGCTTCGCCTTCACTAGCGAGTTTATTTAAATTTAAACATAAACTCTGAGGAGGTTTTAAATACTTTATTACATTCATTAAAAATACATAAACATAGTTTTGTTTACAACTGAGAATGTTTTGAGTAAAATAACGTATCGGATGAAAAAAAAAACGCAAACTGTATTAAAGCCGCACCATTAAAAACTTTCTCATTACTGCCATTGTAACTAACGTAGATTAATAATCAATTAGAGATGTTTTGTTTTATATTATGCTTGAAAGAATATGTTAACAACCTTCCATTCTGATACGTCATAAAATTTAATACTTAATAGATTACGTCGCGTTGAATTTTTTTAGTTAAGTCTCACCCAGGTATAGCTGGAATATTGGCAGTGTCGTTCGTTGTGGCGTTCTAAGGGGGAAGCCTATGTTCAGCATCGGACGTCTTTCGGCTGATGATGATGATGAACAAAGTTAGTTTAACAAAAAATGTATATGTCATCAATTATTTTTAAACAGTATCTACGGATAAAGCAGATCGTGATTACAACTGCTGCATACATATATTATCTAATAAAATTAACATAATAATATTAATATTTTCGAAATATAACTATAAAGACTCGATGGTGCAGTTCCTAAGCTATTGGCTTCGGTGCTGAGGATCGCAGGTTCAAATTCCTCACGGGACAGTTGGTTGTGTGTTGTTATTGTGTGTGTTGATCTGGGCGTTTGTTCCCAAGAAGCGTTTACGTCAGACATGCGGCCGTACGTAAAAACATAGCTAAAGTTACTCACAACATGATTCGCATGTTGCGCCATTCCTTGGTGGGATGAGGGCAGGAGAATGATGAAAATAAATGTTTATAGTGTGGGTATATAAAACCAATATCGTTAATAATGTCAGATTCAATATGTATAATTTTCTGACATCAACAAGGCTGCTACATCTTTGACTGTCCGGAGCTAAATTTACGATAAATAAAATAAAAATAATGTTTGTTTTCAATTCAGGTAAAGAGGACTTTGGAGACAGTGTATTAAATTACTATAGCGCTAGTTCTTACTAGAAACATACCCGAACGAAGAAACAGTACCTGTAGTTTGGACCACTGTATTCGGCCAATGCATCTGCTTGCGTTCCTCCAAGCAAGCTTAGCTCCAAACACCAATTCGGTAGTAGTCAGCTGGTAAGTTCCAGTCTTAGCTACCTCCTCTTGTACCGCTTTCCATCGGGCTTCGTGAGCCGGAGTGTTGGCCCTGAGCAGATAATTGTGCAAGTGTAAAACACGTCTGGCGCCTTGCATTTATACATGTATCGCACGTTCTTTTACATTTTTCTGATTACGTAGTTACATTCTTCAAAATGTATAATATAATATAGATATTGCTGTAAACATGATCTAAAATATCTCCAACTCGACATATATTGAAGACGATTCATGCGATTTCAGCCGCGAGAAACCTTTCTACTTCTGGTCGTGGCGTGACGTAACCTATCAAATGCAAAAAACAGTTTTTCAAATCCGACTGGCAGGCCCAGAGATTGGCAAGTTCAAACAGACAAACAAACAAACTCTTCAGGTTTATTTTAAATTGCGTTTCATTGCCCATGCAGTTTCATCTCCATTTTAAATAATATTTAATAGCATTCATTTTACTGCTACTTCTTCTTATGGCGTAATAAAATTTTATTAGAGCTATAACTGAATCTGAATATCACAGCGGAAATTAGACGCCCTCTAAAGCTGAACGGATTATGATTTTTATCGTTCTTACCTACGTATAGACGCGAAATACTGTCCAAGGAAGTCCTTCGCATCGTTGAGAACCTCTTCGGACTCCCTAGGCACGTCGCCTCTGCCGGGGATGGCCATCAAACTTCCAAGACACGCCCTCTCGTTGCATAATGTGGGCTGTTGACAAAGAAAATATTATGAGACAGAATATACGACGATTTTAATCGTTTTTTATTATCTTTCATTTTTATATTATTTTATTATTTTACTTTCTTTACATAAAACATATTTCTTGTCTTCCGTATCGTATCGATCGATGTTGTGTTACTAAGTTTAATATCGGTTCGTGGCCCGAATTGCGTCGACAAGTTTAGTTACTTCAAAGTGCATTCGTTATTAAATTTAAATATATTTAAGTAATTTTTACCATTACTATCGATGGAAAAATAAGAAAATTTAAAGTACTCATTACAAAACGAAAAATAGTAATTTGATTGAAATGTATGCCATTTGCTTGTTACGTACAAAAATGTATGTGGTACTTAAAATGGATTGAGATCGCATGCAAAGCGAACATTTGTACAGATTGTATCGTAAATGTGTAAATTTTGTTTTGTATCTCATCAACCCTCATAATGGATTGGATGAAAGTAAACTTAGAAATGTTACATACTCACTTTCAATTTTTATTAATGAATTCATACAAATTTGTACGCCCGGTATGTGTTTATATTCAATAACATGAATAAGGTTTCATAACTGGTGACGCTTATATCAACACCCTTGTAGTATTAAAAGATATCGAATTATCGAATAAAAAAGAAACCTTCACAAAAATTATTCCTACAGACCTCTTACTGCCTTATTAAAAAAAGGTTGACTATTATTTGGAGTGAAGAGATAATTATCATAAAAATAAACTCAGAACTCCTCCAAAGGACAATGACACCAAATTATCACAATGATAACATATGTATCTTCATGTGTGTTCTTTATATTATACATAATTATTTGTTGTTCGTTACATTTTTGTAACAATTGAATCTCATTAAAAGATCAATTGGCCGATTTATCGAATAAGTAAATTATGGTTATTTATCGAATATCAAAGTGGGATTAATAACATCTTATTATTTAATTTAATATATATATATATTATATTTAATTAAACCTTATGCATAAATACCTTTATGCTTAATTCAAAAGTATCCACTGGGTAAGTCTTGTAAACTTAATGAATTACAGAAGTACTAAGTGACAAATACAAATTCATTCGAAACAGATTCGAACTAGAGACCATATATCTTACGGAGCTTTATATTACAAAACCCATATTGGCAATAAAGTCAATACTATGGCCATAAAATGTAAGTTAATAGTATTCTTTACGTTATATAAATTCTAAGACATGTTTCCCAATATCTTTAGATTTTTTTATTATTTTAATCCCTATTGCTTCCTTTAAAATTTAGAAAGAAGAAAATATGCGGACTTAATGTCATTATTAGGCATCCTCTACCATTCAACCTATGATGTATATCATTCAAGTACGTAATATATATTTTGTTCATCTAAATTCATTGAAATAAGTTTATTGACATGAGCAATTAGACGGACTTAATACTATTAAGGGAGACTTAATTTTCGAGTCTACGCCGGACTTAGATAAAAACAAAATAAAATAAAAAGAAAACAGAATAGAATGAAAATGAAAATTCAATGAAATTCGAATACAATTTGCCTCGATGTTACATGATGTACACATATTTTATTAACCACATAACTCATTCATTCAAAAGATATGGTATGGAAAAGATGGTTCCATTGATTACGCCGGACTCAAAATAATTATGACAATTAATATCCAGTCTTAATGAATCCAAGTCATTGCAAACAATTAAATTAGGTACTCAATAATTTGTCTGTACAGATTAGTGAAAAAAGAAGTAAAGTTCCGTAAAAACTTGTACTCAAAATTGGTTTTTATCTATGGTGTGGTTTTATATTCATAGCGTTATTTACATATTGTTGGATTTTTTTCTCCATAGTGAAAACATATTTAGTAGAAGGAGCCTAGGTCAGCAGTTATTTTTTATTTATTCTTTGTCAGTTTGTATAGGATGCGGGGTAAAGTTCAACTAAAAATTAGTTTCACCGAGACTGGTCTTGTATTTTGCTGAGTTTTCTTTGCTGAAAACGTGGGCATGGTTCCGTAAACGTGATCGGAAACTTTATCGTATTATTTTTTCGAACGCAAGTTGCGATTTTTTGTTAAAATAATGGTCTTAGCCACAAAATATTGTTGCTTTTACGTCTTTCAACTCTTATGAGGTAGCTAGTCAGTTAAGGATATATAGCTTACGGACACAATATTAACTTTCCAACCCACAAAATTTATTACAAACTGGATGTCCGAGGTGCTAAAACATCCCTAATATTCTATTAAAAATGACTATCGAAATTATGAGCTAAATCTCTCGAGACCGTTTTATGTTTTAAACCAGTTAATTCACGAAAAATAAAATATTAACATAGCTAATTTGAACCGAAGCCTCCCTATTAATATTCTGATGTATGTGACCCCCCTAACGGGAACTTTATCGTTGACATATACATGCATACATTGTTATATTTATATGCATATATGATAAGTACGTAATTTTATCATGAATATTATAATTTCAAATTCTAGTAAATTTAGTTAATATTCGTACATGGACATATTTAGTCAGTACAAATAATATATGTTTGCATAAAATCTATTATTCACTTTAAACAAACGAACGTTATTGCTTGGACACACGAATTCCTTCAACAATAAAATTAGTTGCTCGCCGTGACGGCGTTAGTGATAAGCTACCGATGCGTTTTGCGAATTTAAAAATACTACTTGTTGCGATTACTTTTTAAAATTCAATAACAAACGGAAAATGGTTATTGCCTATGACGGTGGTAGGGCCACGCAGCAGCTTCGGCTGTTGCACGAATGGGCAGGCCCGTCCGGGTAAGTACCACGACCTCACAGAAGACCGGCGTAAAGTGGAAGTATGACAAATCTGGTGAGTGAGGTAGCCGTTGCCCAATTTTTAAAAGGTTGTCAACGCATCCTCCGGTAGGGCACATGTCCATGGGCGGCGGTATTCACTTAACATCAGGTGAACCGTCTGCTCGTTTGACAACTTTTCGCATAACAAAAATAATAATATGCTAAAGACATATATTTTCCATGTTTTATATGCAAATGTTATCATCAATCTCTTCATCGAGTTTATATTTATTATTAAGTCTGATGAAGTGATGCAGTTAAGAATATTTCATTTCAAAAATTTCATATATAAAAACTTCATATTCTTAATTATTTGAATGTAGCTGCAATTCCGAAAACTCCTTAAACAAGAACTCTATTATTTAACGTGGAGGCCTGTGCTTAAACAGCTCCAAATTAAGTGTTTAAAATAATTGCAGTCGATGTAACTGCAGCTTTAAACTTTGAATTCGGAACTAAGTTTTAATGAAAAATGTCTTCCACTGGGAACGTTGAATATTTTATGTCGAGAATTTTAAATTGCTCCAGAATGACGGGATTGTTCATGAAGTATATTTTGTCCTTACAACTAGGTTTAGATTGTGGAGATGCAAACGAATTTCAATATTTACGATAATTATAAGCACTCACCACTCTTGGGCAGGTAGTATCGTAAAGCCGATCGTACAAATATTCCCTGGACTCGTGGTTTTTCAGCACTTTCGGTCGGATCACCTTCCGCGGTACTTTTTTATCCAGCTTCGTTATTTCAAACTTCGCAACACCGTCGACAGCGCGGCTCTGATTTTCCTTTTCATCACTTTTTACTACGCTAAGTACAACACTATCAATAACAGATTCCGCATGATCAATGGGGCACGATTTTCCTGAAGTTAACTGGTCAATAATACCGCTTCTATCGGCAGATATAGATTTTAGAGCGCTATCTAAAAGACTTTCAGCATTCTGAATGACACCAGGTGCCATTTTTGCGTGCAGTGAGTGTTTTGTTCAAGATTTTTTTTTTCATATATTTTTCCTGGCACTTTTTAACTCGTTTAGCGCAACCGCATACGCCGGCACACTAATCACTTAAGTTTGCTACCGTTGTATTTATAATAGTTTTATCTTGCGAGTGGAAGTCGTCGGTGCCGGTATTGTTTAACTATTAGTAAACACAAAATCACGTGATTTTGTGTTTATCTTGGTTTTTAGCGTTCGTTATGGTAGCCTACGAACTTGCTTACTCATTGTTCATACTAAACCAACTTTTTTAATAATAATAAATATATCCGTTTCATTTAGGTTTAGAGTGCAAATGCAAATACGGCTTGTGGTAATGTCCAGAGCATTGGTTCTGAAACTTATCTGAAATTGTATTACAAATTGCAGTATTTTTTTTTATTAAATATGTCCCTGCTACATTTAGGTTTAGATTGCAAATACAAATATGACTTTTGGTAATGTCCACAGCATTGTTTCTGAAACTTATCTGAAATCGTATTACAAATTGCAGTAATTTCTTTTATTTTAATTGTTTTATTTTAGTTGACACGCGTTATTATTGCTGTCAGCCTGAGCTCCAGTCTTACTCACTAGACGAAACGTAAAAGTCCTCCCGTTTTACGACGGTGATCTGTGACACTGTGATACTTCCCCAGATGAGCCTGCCCGTTCGTACAACACCAGAAGCTATTTGATTGACAATATACTCGTTGGTGATATTTATTCAAAATAATTTTTGTTATTCATGTACATTAACATCAACTTCACAATATTCTATCAAGCCCGCCCCAACAAGAGTTTTACTATACTCAGATTTATTTCGAAACTCTCTGGAGAAATTTCATTACTTGTACGCATAAAATTTAGACAGTTACACAGTTTAGTATTGACGAATCACATTTTGGAGAATGCAGTTTTAGTCATTCTTTACTCTCCTACTCTATGTACGTAGGTTTTTCAAGAGATTGCTTTTTTAAATGGTAACAAAACAAAATATACCGTGTCCAGTTTCTTTTATTTACCTATAAAGAACTCGTTAATATTAGCTGACACCTAATCTACAAATCGCGTCGTTGTTACGTCAACGCGTATCATAATGACGAACAAGTAAAAATATATTAAAATATGTAGAAAAAGTGCGAAAAGACTGTCGCCGCTTTGGGAATCGAACCCACGTCTTCGGCATTCGCGGCCTGACGCTCTAGCCACTGAGCTAAACGGCTGATTACCACACCAACGAAAATCTTAACGCATTCTTCCACATTGTTTTCTTAGCATTTGAAGCAATGCTTGGCGCCATCTATTGTTATATCCTTTCCGGCATACAAACAACTTCGAATATCGTTTTACAACGATAATTCGAACGAGAGATGTCGCCATTGCTTTTTTTAGAAATTTAAATTGTTTATAGTGCTAATCTTTGCACTTAAGATTGAACATTAAAATATGTAGAAAAAGTGGAAAGGATATAACAATAGATGGCGCCAAGCATTGCTTCAAATGCTAAGAAAACGATGTGGAAGAATGCGTTAAGATTTTCGTCGGTGTGGTAATCAGCCGTTTAGCTCAGTGGCTAGAGCGTCAGGCCGCGAATGCCGAAGACGTGGGTTCGATTCCCAAAGCGGCGACAATCTTTTCGCACTTTTTCTACATATTTTAATATTCAATCTTAAGTGCAAAGATTAGCACTATAAACAATTTAAATTTCTAAGTAAAAATACAAATAAAATATATTTTAAACTTACTGCTATTTACTTATGTTTTTAAGGTCAAGTAGAAGTTTTAAACTTCTATAAAAATGTGTTGCAGTAAAAACAGAGGTAGCTAATATCTATTGCTATATAAAACTATTTTATGGATACCCCGTTTAATTTCGTGTTAAGTTCGAATATTTTGCAATATTCGTTGACATTATTCATAATTATAACGCTATCGCCAACGTCAAACCCTGATATTTCGTCACAAAACTTACATATTATGTTAACTTTTATGCTGTACATGTGTAAGCAAAAAAATCACAGCTAAGAATAGGAGTAAGTCATTGTTGCAAGCCGGAAATTCGAACTGTTACGTATAATCACCCCTGCCTTGGCTGTGACTTTCCAATTTAGAGTACTTTTAAAATTTAATCGTTGCTGCCTATTGAAAGCTAGTTTAAAAGACAGATGTAATTATTTTTCTAAATTTAATATTAAGTTTATAATTATGATACACTTTGCATAACATAAATCTGGTTCTCAATTCGAAGCTATTATGTTTGAGTGATAGAACATTGACATAATTATTTTATTGATGATTAACTGTTGGTCAAAACTTAAAAGACAAAGTATTTTTTATTCTTTATTTTTGGGCCATACAAATAACTTTTTTGTCGAAATGGAGCCCATAAATAATAAGGTTTCGTTTGATTAGTAAGGTAACCCCGAGCCATGATGACTCCGCGGCGCAGTTCCCCAGGTACTGGCTTCGGCGCCAAGGATCGTGGGTTCGATTCCCACATGAGACATCTATTTGTGTTACCCACACACAGTTGTTTCGAATCTGGGTGTTTGTCCACGTGATATTTAAACGTTCCTACAAAACAAGCTTATGTTATCCTACAGTATCGGGGTAATGTTTTCGAAGGGAAGACTACAAAAGATCTCCTTGATCGCAGTGGTCTTTGGGACTTACCGACCCCTTCCGTACAAAAATATTAAATACAACCCCAAGCAAGCTCGCTTATGACCGATTCCTATAATCAACGAACGGCCGTTAGACACTTGCTTCGTAACGACTTGTAGATAAAAGGCGTGTACGCCCGGTTCCTATATCAACAAAACGGGGCGTTTTTTTTTACGAGCCGTTGCATTACCTACGGAAAGTGAGTGAATAGCGTTCCTTTAATCTACAAGTTGTTATGAAGCTATGTAACTACCGGCCGTTCGTTGAATATAGGAACCGGGCATTAAAGGCTTTAAATGTACCCGCGACCCTGTAGTTGTTTTCTTTATTTAATCTGTTCAATCGTTCACCGACTGGCCGGCGGGCCACCATCGAAGAAAACAAAAGCAACGTCCAACAAAGGAATCCTTTTTCATGATATTTAATGAACAGCACAATTACAGGTCGTAATTCATACTTTATCGGTTATCAACCGTGTGACCTGTCACAGAAGCGTAACAAGTCATGTGCCCGCGACAATATTTGAACACGAGCTTCGCATTATGATGTCATAATGTTGTGTACTGTGCCCCCTGAACATGTGATCGTGTTATCTTTACAAAACATCCCTGCACATTTCAGGACACGTCAAAAGAAATAGGCGTGATTCAGCCGAATTTATGTATATAGTAGACATATATAATTATGGATAGAGATAGCTTAACTGTTCGTTTAATGCTATATTTAAATTAGAAGTTATACTTCTAAGGCATAACAAGATAAAAATCTTTTCAAAATTTTTTTCTTTTGCTACTTTTGTAGAAAAAATTAAACTAACAATAGAAATAAACTTTGAATTTGTTTCAATACATAGAGCGCCATCCACCACATATATGCAAAACTAACATGTGGTGATAAATATCGTGAATCAGTTATCAGTTCTCACGCAAACATACGTAGATGTCTAGCTAACTTCAGGGTGTCGGTTTTTCGTGACGGTATAAATTTACTCTTATCATTTTTCAAATTCCAAAAGAAGTATAACTTTAAAAAATTTTTGACCAGCCAAGATGAAATTTGTTAATTACATTTAAATTGTTTGTTAATTACATCTTGCGTGTAAACTATAACAAAAAAAAATCATAATGAGTTTGTTCCAGTTGCAACCGAATTGATTATCGACAACTTGACAGTCAATCCAGTTACAACTTTTATATTATTATATATCTATTAGCGCAGTTATTACTTTCATGTAATGATATTTTATACAAACAAGTACGATGTGGATATGACACTGGTACAACGAAACTGAGGTACTGAGGCACTCAAATTACGCCAATTGGTGTAATTAGATTACAATTCCATAGACTGCTACCATTTTCTGTATCATTATTCGTTCTATACACATACGTTCTATATACATTCATCTGTCACATTTACTTACTATAATGTACTGTAATTATGTCATATAATATAAAGCGGAACAATTTTTCAAACGCCGCGCAGTATGGACTTGCATCTTCTTCATTAAAACACTAGCTGCTGCCAGCGACTACGTCTGCGTAGAGGGGTGAAAATTTAGGGTTGTATGTATTTTTGTATGCTGTATCATAAAAAAAACACAAAAACCTTTGTATAAAAAAAATATGGAGTGGACCAGCCTTAACGTTTAGGGGGATGAAAAATAGATGTTGTCCGATTCTCTACCCTGGCCGATATGCACACAAAATTTCACAAAAATCGATCGAGCCGTTTCGGAGGAGTTCAATTACAAACACCGACACGAGAATCTTATAAATTAGATCATTGCTTTCATATATATTTAAATGATTTGAATATCAAACTTTATTCCCTTCCTGTAAATATATGGACACATAACAGCGACATTACATCAGAAAAGGGGTTTTTAAATATTTGCAGATTACACCGAGCAAAATTAATTTCGAAAATCCTTCAAATATTTTGTCCGTTCGCAAATACATCCACCCTTTCTTGTTGATTTAAAAACTTCAGAGTGGAAAGTGTGGCCGAAGAACTGAAGCTGCATTAAAATTTTAAAGAAAGTTACTTATTTATTTAAACACAATAATTCCATTTCATATTTTATTCGATAATAAAACACCATATTAATATTAAAACATTATTTTCAATGTCATCTACCGTAGTTTTTTAAAATTTCCTCACTAAAGAACACATGGATGCCTTTATTCAACACAGGGACATATCTATATGTTTTAGTAGTCTACTATATCTTATATAGACTGTAACTATTTATTTACTGAATAATGATTTGATAAAATTATCATTTTATCTTTTATACCATATTTCAACGGTGAATA